GAACGATCGGAGTAAAGTGCTTGCATGGAACATTTTTTTATTTGACGAGGTATCTTCACGAAATTTGGCATGTATTATTATTTAAAGCATTAATCTAATCTCCGAAGAAATTGTATGGATCGGATGACTATAGCATATAGCTGCCATATTAACTGAACGATCGGAGTAAAGTGCTTGCATGGAACATTTTTTTATTTGACGAGGTATCTTCACGAAATTTGGCATGTATTATTATTTAAAGCATTAATCTAATCTCCGAAGAAATTGTATGGATCGGATGACTATAGCATATAGCTGCCATATTAACTGAACGATCGGAGTAAAGTGCTTGCATGGAACATTTTTTTATTTGACGAGGTATCTTCACGAAATTAGGCACGATTTATTGCTTAAGGCAACAAATTATTCTCCACAGAAATTGGTCAGATCAGATCACTATATCATATAGCTGCCATACAAATTGAACGTTCGGAATCAAGTTCTTGTAAGGGGCCTTTGTTTATGTGAAGGGTATTATAGCTTCGGCGCAACCGAAGTTAACGTTTTTTCTTGTCTTTACAGCCTTTAATTCTATAGAGCTAGAAATACTATGATTTGCATATATTATAACGCCACGTTTATTTCTGTTGCTTGTTTCCGTGCTATCTATCCTCAGCTCGTTAATTGGAGTAAGTCCTGGTATATCAAAATTTTCGCACGGATAACCTCAAGTTTCTACAAAACATAAAATATCTGAAAATAGCATCAAATAGTCGATGTTTATATCATTAATGTGAGCATGAAAATTTGATGTCCTGATTATCAGGAATTCATAAAACTGAAACATGTTTTCAGAGCTTTATTTGTGCACAATTCCCTTAGTTCCCTAAATACAGGATCCGATTCAGAAAATTTGTTAGGTGGAATAAAATTTCCTGTGATGAACAGACCTTCTGCAGTAGTAGCTCGACGGCAAGCGACATATGTATGTATATTGAAGCTCTAGGCATTCTGGGTCGAGCATGAACTACAACTTTATTATATGTGGCACCCTGATTTTTACGAATAGTTATTCCCTCAGCCGGAACAACTGGAAACTGATTTCTTTCAATTGATTTTTGTTCATTTTTTTATATTGAAAAGATTTTAAGTTTTCCACAGGAATATTGTCCAAAAGAGTTTCTTGACCGACTGAATTAGCTCGGCAGGTAAACGACCCGTGGGAATATTATAACCTGAGGGACTATCATGAGAAGTTTGTGCCGCACGAAAATATTGAACCAATCGGGAATCCTCTGCAGATGCAACAAATGGAACTTCTTCTTGGTTTTTAAATTCTGAAATCAAGTTCTCATTAATAAGTATATTGTGCCCACGATA